ACACACACACACACACACACACACACACACACACACACACACACACACACAAACTCACACACTTGAACGTTTTAACTTTCAAAAGCCTCACCCGTAAAGAGCTATAAACGCCATATCATAATACTGGGTGACTTTATAAGAATGAACCGATTTCATTACGCAATATTTTAATATGGAAAATCAATAGAAAACTCAAGCTAAGTCACAAAAATATCCAACTCACAATCAGTTTCCATTTCCTGTCTTACAAGTGTTAGTGTTTAATGTGGTCAACACCAGCAGCACGGGCAACATTAAAGCGATAAGAGAATTCATCCAGACTCATTTTGGCATTATCACGGTCTTCTGCGTTGTTCACTGAATTGTTGTTTGATGCTAGTGGTCATCGGTGGAACATAAATGCGATATCTTAAATAGCCCCACAAGAAAAAAATCACACACGGTGAGATGAGATCTGGGGTTATGGCAGGAAAAGCACAGATACTATACGTTCTTGCGCTACCGTACTCCGACCGTCTAGCACAGAGAGCAAGGTCTTTAGCTACCTTTCTGACCAATCTATCACTGGCTCCAAAAGCTAGATTACTCATCTTTCAAATAGCCACAGACTTACTCCTCAACGATGCTTGAGAACTGAAGTAACCTTGACCATCAATGAACATTAATGAAAATTAAGAAATATTTTTTTTTTAAAATAACAACCTCAATTAACTGACGTCATGAAACGGTTCATTCTTTTTTAATTACTGTGTAGTATAATTGTTACCACTGTGAAGATTTCAGATACTTGAGGCATCACGGGTTCAGTTAAAACTGATAGTTGTTCACGTACATAATTCAATTATGGTAAAAATGCTTTTTCTGTGATCTTCAAAGTATAGCACAAAAGTAGGTTTCAATAAGGTTATGAACGAAAACTTTAAGCCCCCTCGGTCAGGAAACTGACCAACGGTGGGACAATTAAAACTCAGGCCATTCCTCATTTTTCTTTTTCTTTTCTCTTTTTTTTTTCGGAGGAAGTCTGCCACGAATGCGGCTCGCCGATGAACAAAAAATCGTTAATAAACTTATGGAAAATTATGTTCTTTGTTAAAAATGCAATCAAATTTCGGAACCAGCGTATCAAAATTATCAAAAGAACTCGTGGGTGATTTTTGATCTTACTGAATTTTGAAGATAAAAATAAAAGGTTGTTCGTTTTTTTAAAAACCAAGATTGAATTATAAATAACATTCTTATCACAAAGAGGTACTGGCAAATGTCTGTCTTAACTGAACGTCTAATATCCCCTTTAATCGTTTTTGGGTCACATCCAATAACCTTTTATCAAGTCATTACACTTTTTAGTACTTCAGATCAGACGAAAATTTAATCACTGTCGGGCTTGGGTAAAATTTACCAGAAAGGACTAAGTTAATACTCTACATTATTATATAATACTATAAGCTAACGTTGGAGAAAAAAAAAAGCCAACAACAATTTGATGCACAACTCAGACAATGGGGAAAAAAGGGGAAAAAAAAAACAATGGGGAAAAAAAGTGAGAATAAAGGGACATAATGCATCTAACACTTATATCATTTTTTTTCTAGCAGTGGTAGTTTCCCTTGAGTTACAAGTTTCACAGCATTCGCGCACGTTGCTTCAATAAATTCTTTTTTTCCCCTTTTGTTTCAAAAACAACCTCAAAATTATGTATACACACATTGCTTTCTTTGGTTTTGCCTTTAGATATATTTATGTTTCTGAGTGTATATCATTTTTATAACCACCGGTGCGCATTGCTTTCCAAAAGAATACTAAAATGACTATTTTCAAAACATTCATGTATCTTTTTGACAGAACAATCGTAAGTCAAGGGTCGGCAGATCCGCCATGAATTGTCATCCCTCTTCGCAATATTTAGTATTGTTTATCATTATTAAGCGTAACAACGAAAAAAAAGGATGATAGTGTGTACGTTAGCAATAGTAAAGTATATTATTGAAAACAAAGTAAAAAGTTACAACAAAAGCCATAGATAAGGGTTTAGACATTGTCCCCGTTTTATGTCAAGTCATAAAATACAATTATTTTTCAAATATTTGATTTGAAAAAAGAAAAACAACAACAACCAAACAAAGAAACATTAAACAAGTTGGGACGAAGAATGGGGTTGGGGTGGGGGCGGGGTCCGCTACAATCAACTTGCGAACCAATAATTCATCTAACCCTCTTCGTATTGCACGGTTTAGATATTATTTTCGAAAAACTACACATTAACTTCAATTATTAGTTTATTTCCAAGTTTTCCAGGGAGCAACAAACGACACAGACGCTTCTGGGAAACCTGGCGGTTTGCTCAAAGAATTGGAATAAAATCATATGCCTTGGAGTAGGATCCCAAGCTTTTCTTTCACTCCATTTTGTTCTTGTAGCTGTTTGATACTGATTCCCTTGATGACCGCGTGTGTGTGTGTGTGTGTG